ATGGCAAAAGCTGCATTTAGCAACAAGAAGAATCTTTTTACCAGCAAATTGGACTTAAATTTGAGGAAGAAACTAGTGAAATGCTACATTTGGAGCATAGCTCTGTATGGGGCTGAAACTTGGACACTTAGGGCAGTAGATCAGTTGGACCAATTATGTGAGAAATGAAGAAGTGTTGATCAGAGTCAGTGAGCAGAGGAATATCCTACACTAAATACGAAAATGGAAGGCTAATTGGATTGGTCATATCTGACGCAGTAACTGCCTTCTAAAAGAAGTTATTGAAGGAAAGATAGAGGAGCGGATAGAAGTGACCAGAAGACGAGGAAGAAGACGTAAGAAGGTGCTGGATGACCTTGGGGACAGAAGAGGATATTTTCATTTGAAGGAGAAAGCTCTAGATCGCATCAAATGGAGGAACTGTTTTGGAAGAGATTGTGGACCTGTCGTCTTGACAGATTACTGATGAATGAATATCAAATGAAATGTGCAGATTGCCCATTAAAATACATTGGACAAACGGGCCGAACACCAGATATAAGGAACACATACATGATATTAGAAACAATAATAGCAATTCCTGATACTCAAATCACATACTAAATACAGGACATGCATACGGAACAATAACAGACGTAATGGAAGTTGTAACAACAGGAAAGAAGTTTAGACATTTGAATACACTAGAGAAATGCCATATATATATAAAATAAGTAAGAAAGGCCTACACATGAATAACACACACAATCCCATATTTCAAACAATACACGAGATACCAATACCAAGGCTAGCGAGGACCCAACTTTTATCTCTAGGATCATAACAGGTGAGAAAAGTTTAATTTATGATTATGATATAGAAATAAAGCAAGAATCGTTGTAGTGGAAGAACCCACAATCAACAAGAGCAAGAAAGGCGGGGCTGATCCGGAGTTCAACAAAGTACATGCTCGTTGTTTTTTCAATGTGAAGNAACTTCAATAATGAACGATACATGTGCAATGATACAACCAATTTACCAATTAACACAAAAAAATTCTGTATCTCAATTTTTCAAACAGAATCCTTCCTAAGGGTTTGGTGAGGATGTCAGCGACCTGGTTGGCTGTATTAATATACTGTATTTCAATAGTGCCATCCTTCACCTTTTCCTGGACAAAATGATACTTTATATCGATATGCTTCAGCCTCTTGGGTTGCTCACAAGATTTACTAATTCTTATAGCTGACTGGTTGTCCTCAAATAATACAACTGAAAGGTCTGAATCATCTCCTACTTTCAGATCTATAAATAGTTGGCGAAACCAACATGCTTCTATGACCCCTGCGCACAAGGCAATATATTCAGCCTCTGTAGAGGATAGTGCTACACACATTTGCTTCTTTGTGCTCCATGCTACAGTATTTCCATAAATTTGGAAGCAAAACCCTGTAGTTGACTTTCTGTCCAATAGACTCCCACCCCAATCAGCATCCACATATCCTCTTATCAGCACACTATTTACATTTTTACAATAAGTGAGCTTGACATCTAGAGTATGCTTAATATACCGCATAACTCTCTTAATACAATTCCACAGTTCTGTGCTTGCACAATTCTGAAATCTACTCAAAATATTAACACTAGCACACAGGTCTGGTCTAGTACCTAGTACAGCATACATCAAGCACCCTATCGCCTGTCTGCATTTTGTCTCCAATTTCATGCTTTCGGAACACTTCCGGTTTAGCAAATTTTGGTTAAAATTTACATCTAAAGGAGTATTTATAGGTCTGCAATCCAACATTCCAAAACGTTCTAAAACATCAGTCAAATAATTTTCCTGACAAAGGGTAAGAATTCCCTTTTCTAGGTCCTGAGTTACAGTTATCCCCAAATAATAACTGATGTTACCCAAGTCTTTCATTTTAAATTTTTCTGACAACAATTTCTTAAAAACCTCCACTTGAACGTGATTTGAACCTGTAATAATCAAATCATCAACAAAAATGAGAACATACAATTTGTCTTTACCCTCAAACTTAGTATACAGGCAATAATCATTCTTTGATTTTTTAAAACCATTTTCCATCATATACTCATCAAATCTTTGATACCAAAGCTTAGGTGCCTTTTTCAAACCATAAATAGCTCTATTTAATTTGCAAATCTTGTTCTCAGGTAAATTACAATTACTTGGTAGGGTCATATACATTTCTTCATCAATTTCACCATTCAAAAATGCATTACACACGTCCATCTGATACACTTGCCAATCTAAGTGCACACTAACTGCCAGCAAGGAACGAAAGGTTTGAAGCTTTGCCACAGGGGCAAACACTTCCTCATACCCTAGCCCTTTCTGTTGAAAACCACGAGCCACTAAGCGAGCTTTGTATGAAGTTATCTCATTTTTTTGGTTCCTCTTTACTTTGAAAACCCACTTGCTATCAACTGACTTACAAATCTTTGGTTTATCAACTACAGTCCAGGTCTCATTTTCATCCATAGCTTGGAGCTCCTGGTTCACTGCCTCTTTCCATTTTGATGCATGTTCTGAATTCAGCGCCTCCTCGAGTGTTGAAGGCTCATCGATGTCTGTGACACTAACAAGTGCCACTGCATAGTCACAGTCCTCGTACCTGGCTGGTCTCCTTAGCTGACCCCTGGGACGTAGGTTTACGTAATAGGGTTCCGGTTCTTCATTTTCTACTCCAGGTGCATCATTTCCTTGGTTTTGTTGATCATCAGGAGGTGGTGGAGCTTCAGCTTGTTCTGGTTCATCTGGTTCCAGGTCTGGGTCTTCCAAGATGTCATCAAAATCTACCTCGTACTTGACAAGCGTCTGATTTTCATCATTCATGGCTTCTCTCTCATAATTTTCTGGAATAAATATAACATCTCTTTCGATTGTTACCACATTCCGTTCTGGTGAATAAATTCGATACCCTTTAGTATTTTCTCCAAAACCTACAAAGATACCTTTCTTGCTTTTTACATCCCATTTCAAACGTCTTTCCTTTGGTACATGTACCCAGGCTTCTGATCCAAAATCTGGCGCTTTCTGTAGCTTTCTGATATCAAAGTCCTGGCCAAACCAGATTTGAAAGGGTGTCTTATCTCTTTCAGAACTTGTCCCAGTTCGATTTATAGTATAGACTGCATGGTTTGCAGCTTCCGCCCAAAACTTCTTCTCCATCTTCTTTGACGCCAGCATGGTTCGTGCAGCCTCAACAATAGTTCTCATTTCTCGTTCAACTTTTCCATTTTGTTCTGGCGTATAAGCAACTGTAATCTGATGTTGAATGCCCTGTTTCTTTAAATAATCTTCTACTTTGGCTAACTCGGTTCCTTGATCTGACCTCAAGATTTTCACCCTTTTTCCCGTCTGGCTCTTACATAACTCAATGAAATCAATCACTTTTCCAGGAACTTCTGTCTTAGATTTAATAAAGTAAACAGTTCTATAATGAGAGTAGTCATCTTTAAAAACAA